GTGTGTGTGTGTGTGTGTGTGTGTGTGTGTGTGTGAGAGAGAGAGAGAGAGAGAGAGAGAGAGAGAGTGTCATGATTCTGAAATAAAGGGGGCTCTAGTGTACATTGTATATTAATTAACCTAATTTCCTGGTTTCATATTCAATATACTATTCTTTTTCATTATCTCATTGCCTGTCCCAAACCTCCAATCTCTTTCTTGCTGAATACTAGAAATTATTTAAAGAAAAAAACCCCAAAACCTCCCTTTTGACATTTTGATCAAGTGTCTGTTTGAGGCCTTCACCACTTTCCGAAATACAGAGATGGTACTAAAATTAGGGCCTTCTCAGTAGTAACATTACTTCTCTTTCAGGCCATAAAGTTAACAGCATTTTGTTATCTAACTAACAGCACAGAAGGTGTTTTATTTCCTGGGTTTTAATAGATTGTATTATCGACTTATTGTTGCAGTTTTCACTTAATTATCTGTTTAACTATATTTCTACATGGTCTTCTGGGCATCTTCTTAGCTCTGATAATTAGAGAGAATGGAAATCTTTTAAATCAATTTAACATGGCTGAATGAAATCTGGTTGTATTGAATTAAGAGAGGATCTACCACTGAAGAAAATTGAGATTTCTTAGTAATAGGGGCATCTGTTAGCTGTTCATCTGTGCAAATAATATATTTACTTTTATGTGTTAATATTTTCCTCCATATGTCATTTAAATAAAAATGTAAGAGAGAAAATTAATGAAATATTGCGATATAATTTAATTTACTATATTATGAAAAAATAAGATTAATGAACAGATTTCTCATTAACCTTTAAATTCAATGAATAAGAAATATTTCAAGCAAAAGGCAGGAAGAAGTGTTTGCTACAGAATTAATTATAAGGAGATCCTGTTTCAAAAACTTTCACATAATACACAAACTTGTGAAAGTTGATTGATTTTTAAAGTTCTGCTTAAATTGTCCAATGTCTATATCACATTAAAATTAATTTCAAAAGTTCAAAATAGTAAATATATTAAAGAATATTAGAACTGGAGTAGCAAGGAGATGAGGGGGGAGCTAATGAGACAACTGGAAAGGAAATGGGAAGGAACTGGTTTGCAAAACTCCCAGTTTTGCCCCAAGGACTATTCAAAGAAGAATGGGGAAATCCAGATTATCAACATATCTTTGTATATCTTGGGAAAACTCCTACATATCTCTGAATAATTAATGCCCAATTACCACTACAGTTAGTCAAACATGTTTTGTGGAAAGAGACTCAAGAAAGTAGTGGCAATCTAACTTCAGCATTTTTGAAGGAGCAGGGGTGTCAAACTCATATTATCAGATTGGTGTCACATGATGTATCGAGATTTTTTCCCCCTTCACTAAACTAGGTGTGGGTGTGGCCAGTGCATGATGCATCTGGCCCACAGCCCACAAGTTTGACAGTCCTGGTCTAGAATCTAGACATGTGGTCTGGAGTTGTCAATAAAATAACCGGTGATGCTTGCTTGAATGATCTTTAATCAGCCACTACCCCTCCACCTCAATTTCAATTTAGGATATCATCCCTTAATTGTATGGGATAATCTCTGGAATATGGAGATAGAAAATACTATTCTACAGTGAGTCATTTGCATCCAGGGAGCCAATTACAGAAGCTAGCTCTTGATGAATGCCATTTAGCTTCTTGTACTGCACAGCAGTATAAAATAATGTTTTATTCCCAACAATTGTTTCAGAAAATCCAAAAGGGGTCTTTCACTGCTTAAGAATCAGCTCTGGTGATCTGTGATATCGTGATATTTTCTGTGTTTATTTCTGGCTCAGCTGTAGTGTAGCCTGAATTATAGGATGGGTGGGTGGGTGGATGATCAATGGAATTCTTCAGGACTTGTGGCCATGTTTTCCCATTAGCCCCAGCTCTTGCTTCTCCCACTTCACAGATTTCAACTGCCATAGTTTTCTGCTCACCAATCCTCAAAGGGAAAATGTGACATAATGGATCCACAAGTCCTTTTGCGGGGAATGTGGAGATAGAGAAATAGATTCCATGAAACCAGACAAAATACCACTGTGCTATTGCTCTCTTCAAAATAAAATCAACCTGGACTGTTTTGCCCATTTTCAGGTGCTTGCAATTGTTCTTGTGAAAAGAGATAAAATTGACAAGAATTTTATTTCCTTTTTCTCTTTGACAGGGAAGAGTTGGTGTTCAAAGGTTCAAGATTTTTTCCCCCCTTGGGCACTGTTCAAGGATGGTTGGGGAGATGCTAAATAGTTTTTCCTCCCCCATTTTGTATAGAATAGGATATGTAATAATGTTGTTTTTTATACTAGTACAGTCTATCACTATCCTCTTACAGACAATTTTTGGCATCCTGTTCCTGGACGTTAGCCTTATTTAAAAGATATCTCTTCCATTCCAGAAATATATAACACATTACCACTTCTAAGAAAAACGTCAACTGAATTTGCAAAATTGCTGACATTTTATCCTTTTAGTAAACTTTTAAATGTAATAGAAAATAGTTGCTTCGCATCCTCCCTTTAATAGCATAGGCTCAGAAAACAATGATGATTTTGCAAATGATAAAATAAATGGAATTTGTTCTGGAAGCATGAATAGGAGGCACACTGGGAATGGCTGCAATATATGTGTGTGTGTGTGTGTGTGTGTGTGTGTGTGTGTGTGAGATGTTTTGTGTTAATGGTGGCTTTGGAGCTTTTTGTTGCTCCAGGACGTGAACTAGTGTATGATCAGGAACGTTGCTATTGATCCCCAAGAGGAAAGGCACTATTTAGTACATGGGCTTCTCTGAATTTCAGGATTAACAAACATGAATACAATTACAGATCAGCTTTGATCTGGTTTTTAGGGAACTGGAAACTGGAAATAATGTTGTTCAGGAGTGTCTTGCATTTATATAAATGGGAGCAGTCATTTGGAGATCAGAAGCAGCTCTACTTCTCTGTTAGAAAAAGTGAATTCTCTCTTTGGATTAGGAGACAATGTGCATATTCTTGTTCAATAAATATTCATTTGACTTTTATAGGAAGAGTAACTTTGCTCTGGATGCTGATTCTGTTGAATGTCCTACCTCCACACAAAAATGGAAATGTATTGCAAATTAATAAATATTTCAAAATATTCACCTTGCATGCTAGTAACTAAAGGCTTGCCCATAGACCAGTGTTCCGCATCCTCAGCTACTAATACCTGTGTGGATTTCAAATGCTACAATGCTGGCTGGGGACAACTGCACTAGAATAAAAATAAGAGAGGGGGAAACCTTTTGTTCCATGTCTAATCTATTAATTCTTTATAAACTAGACAGAGGCTCTCTGTTAAATACATTAATTTTGTTTAACTTTAAGTATGTAACTGCCTATAGTTCTTCATATCCTTTTATTAGTAGAAATACACCTTCCCCCAACTGCTTCTCTTCTTTTTGCTTTCTTCCTTGCCATTTAAGGAAAGCTTTGGCTCTTTCTTCTCTGATTCACTGACTGGGATTGCATTTCACTACTTTGTCTGACTTAATATTATCTGGAGCAATGATGGGGAACAGTCCAAGGCCGAGACAAAGTCAGTCAGTGAATTCTATCCAAAGTATCCCTAGAGTCTCTCACATAAAGTCCCATCCCATGTCTGGAACACTTTTAATCATTTAATCAATAGAGTGATTTCTATGCCACTTGTAGATATTCTTCAACTGATATATCTATAGAGAATAAAGTTGCCTTTCTTTTAATGCAGAGCATACAATTAACTCCCAGTGAATGAAGAGGTTGGGTTTCCTCTATTGCTCTTATGTGCTCAGAGGAAGGTGCTACTGCCCAACAGGGATAGGTTACAAGCTCTTTTCGATTCAGGGGCAATGACCACACAATGTGAGTGTTTAAGGCTTTATTCCACAGCATTATAAGAAAATAACACAATAATATAATGAAACAGCAATCAAAGAATATTCAGGAATACTAAAAAAATATAAGCTAGGATGATAGTAAAAAATATTGAAGGATATTGAAGGATACAATAAGTCAAAATAGGACCTTATGCCTTTTGACATTCAGGGAACTTCAAAGAGATGGCAGTGGGAGGACTCCTGCACAACCAGCAAATATGAAGCACCTATTGGAATTATATAGACTTTAAATCACCATCACTCGCATTCTTTTTTTTTTTTTTTTT